GGAAGTTTCCTTTGTCATATTTAGTGTTTGACATGAAAACTAGTGTAGATATAATTTAATACAATCTTAGATATTGTCACTAAATGTCCTGATCAGAGAAATCTGTAATGATCTTATCTAAAGATAATGCTCCAGTGCAGGAAATGTCATCATTTTCTCAGGGAGATTGAAATGATGAATACATTAAGTCAAAACAAATTTTGTTTTCAGATACTTTAGGTGGAAAAGGGCGATTGCCAGCATCATTTTTTCTTGTGTCTTGCTATTTTAGTTTGTTCTAAAGATTACTGTTTCCCTTTTTTACTGTAGTAAACCTAGTACATCAAGATTGTGTTTCCTGTTTAGAATTAAAGACTTCTAATTCATGGAATTGATTCATGAGGTGCTTAGTTTCAAAGGTCCTTCAGGGCAGTATTAAAACTGTTTGGGGAACAGACTATTTGTCAGACAGTACAAGTCTCTCTTTTTAAATAACTTTAGTCAGGAAACATTCCTTGTAAAAGAAAGATCAATGGCAACTTATCTGGTACACCCTGTGTTTTTCTTTTTTTTTTTTTACCAGTTGCTGGCAAATTGATTTTGACATTTTAGCATTTTGGCATTCAGTGGATGTATAGAGTGCTGCCTTGTCTCTAATATATTTTAACCTAGTACATATGTGAAGAAATTTAAAATGTGTTAGAAAAAAGATTGAAGGGAGGGAGGGAGGGAGAGAGCAAGGAAAGAAGGAAGGAAGAAAAATGGAAAGAGAAATTCATTGAAATTGACCCAAGATCTGTAAAAGCACAATGGAAGGAACATTGTATTTGGAAACAGAAGATTGTATTTGAGGTTTGTTTCTCCTTCACATGGAGTATGTCTTTGTTACTTTCTCCATTAGTCCTTCCCTGATCATCGCATTTGAATTGCTAAACCCCATAGCCCAAATTTTCCAAGTCTTCCTTCCCAGCTTTAATTTTTCTATAGCACTTTTCAATATCTGATATACAATGTATTTTAATTCTTGACCTTCTTGCTCCCCACTATTAGAGTGTAAACTGATTGAAGGCACAAATTTTTGTCTGTTTTGTTTACTATTATTTCCTGGTATCCAAAAGAGTATTTGACACATCATAGTGTTCACTAAATATCTGTTGATTGAGTGAATGAAAATGGGCTTCCCCGTTGGCTCGGCAGCAAAAGATTCCACCTGCAGTGCAGGAGCCACAGGAGATGCAGGTTCTATTCCAAGGTCAGGAAGACCCTCTGGAGGAGGGCATGCAACCTGCTTCAGTGCAACCTTGCCTGGAGAATCCCATGAACAGGGGAGCCTGGCGGGCTACAACCTGTGGGGTTGCAAGTGGTCGGATATTAGGTTTATGAGCAAGATTAACCAAGATATTATGTATAAAAGTGTATTAGATAATGACTGGATTACAATAGGTATTTCATGTGTCCATTTACCATCTAATACTAATGTCTGTCAGTAAGTCGTCTATAGATAGTGTAACAGTGTATCCCAGATTACCCAGGACCATCCCTTTTTATGCCCATAGTCCATGAATAGTTATCACTCTGTCTAAAGGTAAAGCATGCTACTTAATTGTCCTTACGGCAAGAGTTTATCTCATACCACACAGCCTGTGTTATAGTAACACAACTCCAAAAAAAAGGCCTTCTAATTAGGATAAGAGGTTATTCCGCAGGATAGAGAAAAAAGAAATATTTCTAACTGTTAACACAAAGAGAAATATTGGCAATCTTCTAGTATCAAGTAGTACTACACGTCCCATCTTTGACTTTAGTACATATTACTTCAAACTCCAGTACCACCACTTCTTAGCTGTGAAACTGTGGGCACTTTGCTTCACTTATTTGAGCCTCTATTTTCTCCTTTGTGTAAAAGGAGTAATAATAGTGCTCATGGGCTTCATATGAGATATTAAAATAAATGTAACCTCTAACACAGTGCCTGGCATATAATAGATCCTAAATCAGCACCAGCTTCATAGTATTAATCATTTCTGCTGTTTTTAGCTTCTGCACAGAATCCTGAACATGGTGGGTGAACAGTAAATATTTGAAAAGCCAATAAACAATTGAATATTCTGAAACATTCAAGCAAAATATAATTTTGAGACATTATTTAGTGGGACTGCTATCATACCAATGTTGGATAGTACAGTGAATAATTAGATAATGAATTTGCAGTCTTTACTGTTCTGCAGTGTCACCGCTTAAAAAATTGCCTGACTGCAGTAACTTTTAATAATAAATTATTTGGAATGTTACCTTTCATAGTAATTTAGACCTGAAAGTGTAGCTGTGATCTACTACAGTGCCTTACATAATGAAAAGGAAAACTAAGTCCCAGGTACATTAGATTCTAGAGACAGTATTAGAGCCCTGGTCTCCTCATTTCAAGCCAAAATTATAATGACTTTTCCTTTTGATGTTTGTCTGTCTTTAATCATAGTGATGTGATTTGAGAAGATATCCAATTATTCAGTAGTACCTTCTATAATAAAGTAGAAATAGCTTAGAAGATACTTTGGAATTTCAAATATATGTTTATTTTTCATACATTTGTAATAAAATTTTACCACATATATTTTATAAAGAAAATGATTACTAGTAAAATCTTGATGTTTTTATTATTAAAGTATTCTAATAAAAATTATATTCTAAAGCTGTTAGGCTAATTTCATAATAAAGCTTATTCCATTAGTTTCAAAGGCAGAAATGATGTCATTTCAATTAAATGAACTTTTTTCTCTTAATTTTCTAAAAAATAATTTATGGAAGGTACTCTTCAACCATTATCTACTAAAATTGTGTATTCTAAGTTATCATGTGTATATAGTTACTTTGTGATCCTGAAAAAAATGACATTACTTTGGTTTACACTTGTCCTTTGGAGTTATATAAGATTAGTTGAAAGGGTTGGTAATAGTCTATGATTGATTACTAGACTTCTTTGACATATGATTGAGAACCTTCTCTATTACATCAAAATGAGTTCATCTATTATAAAACTTCTGTTGTTCTTTTCATGTCTCCAATATTGTGATTACTTTCAAGATCTACAAAAATTTTAGGAGCAGATACTAGAATGATATATATCCACATAAACTTAACCACTTAAAAGTTTTTAGTTTAATTATTTTGAGTTTTCCTGAAAATATTACTAAGAAGCATGGTGTCTGTATGTATATATCTGTTGAATAATATTAAGAATCTTCTAAAGGACATAGACCGGGTAAACAGTAACTCCTCTTATAATAGCTTTTAAATTATAATAAAGCTTAAACTAAACTAGAAGCATTTAGGTCCTGTAGCAGTTAATGAGAAAAAAAAAATCAGATTCAAAAGGATGTAATATCCAAGTTGTTCTTTAATCTGCTATTTGTATAAAGCTAAGAATTCATCAGATGCAAAGAAGGTTTTATGTAGAAGTATTTATAGAATAAAATTTAGAAAGATCAGTTATCTATAAAGTAGATACATAAATGGCATGCACATACAATTGTTACTGTGTTAATCTTAGCTATTTTATATGATATGTAAGTTTTATTACTGAAAGTGATATGACAATGAGCTTAATTTCAAGAATTTACCTAGAAACACACTAGATGCCTGAAATTTACCAAGAGACACACTAGATGCATAAAAAGATATTTATCAGAGATTGCTGGGCTACATCAAATGTAGAATACATACTATTGACCAGTGTTTTCCAAACTCAGGCTGTGCAACAAAATGACCTAGGTACTTTTTATTTAAAAAATGTATATTCCCAGACTCCATCTGTTTCCTGCCTTAGAAATTCTAGGCCTTAAAATCTATAGTTAAAAAGATTTTTTTTCCAAATGATCCTAAGGGATAGCCTCAGATAGATAGGTAAATGGTTTTAAACCATAAATGTTGCATAAATATGCATGAGTAGCTGGGATAATTGTGGAACACTTTCGTGAAGGTAGTGGATTTGAGATTGTGATTTGAAAAGCGGCCAGGCATCTGGAAAGGAATCCTTCTAGGAGCACGGTTCTAGTTTTGGGAGCAGAAAGTTCATGGACATGATTAGTGCTTTATAGAGCAAATGATTCCTAAAGCAGAGATGTATAAAATTAAATTTGAGGAGGTAGATAAATGCCAGCCTGGACAATTGAGGATATTGGGGTTTATCTTGTAGGCAACAGGCAACTCAATAATTGAAGTTTATCCAAGGAGATTATGTATATAAAGCAATTTTAGAAGAATACATACTCTGTGTTAATATTTGTAATTGACTGGAAGGCTGGAGGCTAAAGACAAAGTGAACACTAGCAGACAGACTTGAGGTGACAAGGGTTTGTGTAGAATGCTTCTGCTGATGAAAACAAAAGAGTTGTAACCCAGGATGATGGTAGAGGAAGAATAGAAAATTCTTGTGAAGAAAATATAAACCTAATAATGACTTGGTAAAATATGAAGGGAAACAAACATTATAAAACTTGTGCCTGCATATCTAAAAGATGACAATCAAAGTATTGACCAGTTTTCAAGTAGAATATGCTGAGATCATGTTTTTTTTCATTTTTATGTTACTGAAGTTTAGTTGATTTATACTATTGTATTAGTTTCTGCTGTAGAGTAAAGTGATTCCATTATACATATGTATATATTCCTTTTCATATTCTTTTCCATTATGATTTATCACAGGATACTGGATCTAGTTCCCCATGCTCTACAGTATGACCTTGTTGTTTGTTCACTCTCCATAGAATAGTTTGCATAACTTCATCTTCTCTTTAATTGCCTGTGTCCTTCATCACTCAAAGCTCTGCCTTAGGTCAGCTAGGTGTTCTAAACTGCATTGTGTCCAACTTATGAGTAGCAATGTTTCTGACCCTTGTTTTACATCAACCCTAGATGTTGTGGCTCATGTTCAATTTTAACAAATATAAGGAAAAGGTGACTCACAGCCCAGAAAAAGGAAACAGCAAAAAAGTATAGTTGACAAAACCTTGTATCTCTCCTAGTGCTCAATTACCTGTGGCAAAGGAATGCAGTCTCGTGTTATTCAATGCATGCATAAGATCACAGGAAGACATGGAAATGAATGTTTTTCTTCAGAAAAACCTGCCGCGTACAGACCATGCCATCTTCAGCCTTGCAATGAGAAGATTAATGTAAATACTATAACATCACCCAGGCTGGGTAAGCAGATCAAAAAAAGGAAGTGATTTTGAAAGACATAGAAATGATCATGGCTTCTGTTTTATGTATCACTTTAAAGCTTAGTTATCGATCTATACTAATTAGTTTGCTTCTGACTAAATTGGACCTATTCAACGATATAGTCCAAATGATCATGTAGTCCAGATGAAAACTATTTCATTCCTGAGCTGTCACTTCAGAGCTAGGCTGTGGAAATGCAAATGCCATTATCACTCAAGATCAGCCTTCAAAGGGTTGGAGGATGTAACCATATTTTTGATTCTGACCAGTCCCATGGCAGAACCCTCAGTTAAGGTGATGTCGGTGGAAAGGTGAAGCTGTAGTGTATATCTTGGATCTCTTCATTGTTAATAGCCTTCCTTGTGATCCTGGGTACAAATTATCCTTTGGAGAGATAAAGAGTAAAAAAACTCACTTTCAAGGAGAGCAGGTACATGGATCTACACCACTGAAAAAAAGGTACTGATTTTCTCACCTTTAAGGACATAATATTAAATATAAATAAATAGTACTAGCATTGATTTACATAGTTTTATGTTATAAAATGCTTTCACATATATTCTCAGTTACTGTCAGTCAGTCTAATACATCATCAAGAAGTAGAGTATGTATTTTAAGTAATATATCCTGTATTTGCCTAAAACTATTCATGAATGCATTAGCCTTTATTTGTGTGGCAGTTTGGAGCTTTTAATAATGCTGCTGCCTGGATGTCACTGGGTTCATTTGTTTAAAATTATCTGTTGTTTTCTTAAATGCATTTTTATAGTTGATTTCCAATGTTGTTAGCTTCTGCAGTACAGCAAAGTGAACCAGTTATACATACACATCTATCCACTCTTTAATATTCTCTTCCCATGTGGGCCAGAGTACTCACTAGAGTTCCCTATGCTCTCAGTAGGTCCTTGTTAGTTGTCTGTTTTATATACAGTAGTGTGTGTACATCAGTCCCAATCTCCCGATGTATCCTGCCCCCTCCCCTTTCCCTCTTGGCATACTGAGTGAAGTAAGTCAAACAAAGAAAAACAAATATCATATAATATCACTTACATGTGGGATCTCAAAAAGTGATGCAAATTAACTTATTTACAAACATAAATAGAGTTACAACTGTAGAAAACAAACATATGGTCACCAGGAGGGGACACCTTCAGTTTTAATCTGTATGTATAATCTACAGGGGATCAGTTAAATCATACAGAATAATATTGCCAAGATTCAAAGAGCTAAATTGTCATAGATACTTCTCCAAGCATAAGATTCAATCAAATGGAAAAGTTTGGTTCTTCATGGAAATATAAAAATTCTCTTTTTAAGCCAAATAATTAACATTTCTAAGAAATAATCAGTTCAAGTAGAATTAAAACTAGTCAAGACAAGAAGTTAAGCAATCCTAGAGCAGATGTGCTAAATCCTTGTATTCAAAAGCAACATAATCCCTTTCTCCAACAATTATTTGGAGTCCTTCTTGACATAAAATGTGACAGAAAATAATGAATTAAAAGAAGAATTAAATTAAAACTCCATTTTCTCTGTTTATTTTTTCTTGAAGGACATCCCCAAACATAGAAGCACAGTGGTTGGAAAGCCTAAGGTTTTTAAATGTACAATAATGAATCATATTAGAATAGTGGCAAAAGAAACAGTTACAGCAGACTGTCTTTTATTATACATGCCAGAACACACTATTTCTTTGGAAAAACTGGGGCCGAATCTACCTCACTGAATCTTTTATACCAAGAGCTTGTTTCAAACACTTCATTGCTGTAAATTTTAGTCACTTTTGTTAATCAGCCTTGATTTTAAGGATGCCTGAAATTGTGACTCTTAGATATCACAGCTAGACATGTCTGCTGTCTAGGAAACGAGGAATGTGAAATAAGCGTAAGCAGATTTTTGTTTTGCTATTTCTTTCCAAGTTCATCCATAATAGCACTTATTAATTTGTATTCTCATAATGGTGAACATATTGAACACATTCATTTTTCTTTTTAATCTTCTCAACTAAAAATCCAAAAGAAGCTTAAATAAAAGTCATGAAATGAACACTTAAAAGCCATTTGCAGTACACTCATTGGCTTTGGGAAATCTATCTTTAAGGGTCTATAAAAGCTCATGAGTAAGACCAGTATTCATTCACTGTGCTCCTTCATTATGGAGCGTGTGTGTGTGTTTGTTTATGTCTGTCTTTTATGTTCTGGAAGGTTATGTACGTGAGCCAAAATGAGTGTAGAAAATCCCCCCACTTAAATGATTGCTGTTTGTTTCTGCTCACGACAGCTGGCTTATCTGCATGTATTAAGTTCCCTGTGTTTTGTCTCACAGCTGCTCTGACTTTCAAGTGCCTGGGAGATCAGTGGCCTGTGTACTGCCGGGTGATACGTGAGAAGAACCTCTGTCAGGACATGCGGTGGTATCAGCGCTGCTGCGAGACGTGCAGGGACTTCTATGCCCAAAAGCTGCAGCACAGGAGTTGACCTCTAGCAGGCTGGCTGGCTAACAGCTCTTTGCAATCACATTATTTATAAACACACACACTAGCATGTTTTTCAGACCAAATATTATCAGATTACATATAATTTAATCAAATTAATTAATTTATTTTTTTTTTTTGTGCCTGCCAAACATCCAATATGGTGTTTGCTTTGGTTCTACAAACATTTTGATTTATACTATATGGCTTCATAAATAATTTTATATAAATAAGTTGGATCCAGTTTCCAGAATAAAAATAAAAAGGGAAAAACAAAAACCAACCAAGATCTTTAGACTTTAAAAAAAATTTTTTTAACAATTTTTTTTTAAGTTAGGGCTGTCTCTAAGGTGCTACTCTCTCCCTGGCGATACCATTGAGTTATCCAGAATATATACTAATTTAGCCTAATAGTTTAGTTATATATGGAGAGATATCATTTTTTTTCCTTTGGTATCCTGATGCAGAATTTGCCCATTTTCTGTAATCTGCAGGAGATGTGTAAGCATAAGAAACCTCATAGTGTTGAACAGGTTTTTAGAGAATGTATTATGCATTGGGTTCAGATTTAGAGATATCCATGGGAAGAATTCTACTGTAATTATAACCTTATTGTAATAATGGAAAAGAAAAGTCTGAATGGAGACTTTGATCATGTTCATGAACATGTACTTGAACACAAGTATTGTAACAATGAGACACTGTAATGATTTACACTGAATCACCATTGCACTGTTGATATAGTGTAGAGAATCCGTTATAGAAATGGTAACATCCACAAAAATGTGTGTTATTTTAACCTGTTGTCATTATATTTTAGCTTTTTAAAATATTTTGAACAAAGAAAGTGTTGATCCACCCATTTCCTTGTATCTTTTTAGCAGATTTATAAGAGTAGAGTACTTAGCCTCACAAATCATAATGAGAAGATATACTGTTTTTCAGCCTTTTCCCTAGGAACAAGGAAAAACAAAAAGCTTATAATACTGTGGTAGTTTCATTGTGTTTTTCTTTTTAAAAATTAAAAAGTTTTACAATTCTGTGAAACGTTTAAAAACCAGTTTAAGGTTTTCTTGTGAGAAAATATTGTACATGATTCACATGATTTCTTAGATTTTTCAATAAAATATGTGAAACTTCCTGTTGGGAGGCAGTTCTTCATGAGTCTCTCACATTTCCACATGTCCTGGCACTGTCTGCTTTTGTTCTGGAGTATCTTCTAAAGGATGTTTGTGTAATGAACAGCCTTGGAAGGTAAAGATAGTGTCTTTGTTGGAGCAAAGGGCAAACATGCTTATTTCTCATCATGAAAGTTTCAAGTTCCCTAAAATTGGGGTCTCTCTCCTGTAACACAGTTCACTGAATGTGCAGGTACTGCCTGGCTCTCTTCATGTCATTCTGTGGGAAGTGGGGCTCAGGGAACTGGTGCAAGAAATGCTGATTCTCTGGCTACTGGTGTTGCTGTAAGTAATAAAGTTCTTTGTCTCTAACCCAGGAGTTTAATGTCTTCTGCCCTGAAAATATGGCAGGCTAACTTGATAGATTGCAAGTAGAATAAAGCCTCAAAATCCTCATAGTTCTTAAGACTTACCTTTTCGTCTTCATTTTTGTATAAGGCACAGTTTGCTTCTAGATTGTCCCTTACTATGGGTATCCTTTAGTTTAATTGCTGAGATATAAAACCAGTCAATTTCAACACATCTTATGGAAGATAGTAGGGGAATGGGAAAGGGAAAACATATAGTAAGAGAAAACATTCTTAATCCATCCCTTGATTCCTGAATCCATGAATTGATGCAGAAATATCACCATTTACTGACAGATGACTTAGACCCTACACAACATCTTAGAGAACCTCCAAAATGTCTTCACCCAGCTGATGCCAGAATTGAATACTTGAGGAAGAAAAGGCATTGTTGCATCATTCTATCAGGCCATTTGTTCAGGGTGATGGGGAACATGGTAATACTGGAGATTTCAGAGAACATCAGTCCACTGCCACACTTTTTACTGTAATATGAATTCCCTGAAAAGAAACAATATATCATATGGAACACCCTAATAGTGAATGAGGCTTTTGGTAAGTTCATGGACGGTATTTTGCAGAAGCTTTGCAGGCTGGTGATACACAACCATATTTAGGGTAAGTGGCTATTTCTGTGAAAATAGTCCACTGCCTGTTTGGTGATTAAAGTGATCTAATGTAATCTTACTGCAATCCAGATGTTTTGCAGGATTGACAAGGACTTGGAAGGAGCATGGTTTGAAAATTGGTGATGAAGAAATTTTGAAAAAAGGTATGTGAATAACTTACATTCCATTTGGCTGCTCACCAAAGAGAACTATCAGGAGGGAGGCCTTAATCATCATTTGGACAAATTGACAAGTTCTGTGTATGCTGGCCAGTCTCTTTCATTAGCCACCTTTGTCCTTGCCCATGAGCCCAGGGACAGAGACAGTAGTGGCAGGACTAGAGATTATGCATGGGTTCAGTAACATGACTTTTCACTCACCAAGACCCCCTCCAGCTACAGCCATTGCAAGGACTCAGCCTAACAATAGCAGAGAAAATATTATTTCCCAACATGTCACCATTCTATAGCAGGACTAGCCCACTGCCTTGATTGTAGTAAGATTACATTAGTTCACTTTAATCACCAAACAAGCAGTGATTTGTTCTCACAGGAATAGGCACTTCCCCTCAGTGTGGATTTGCCTCCCCAACCTGCAAAGTTGGTGCCAAAACACCATCCATGAACTTATCAAATGCCTTGTTCATGGTTCGGGTATTCCATATGGTATGGTTTCTGTTCAGAGAATTCATATTACAGTAGAAACTGTGGCAGTGGACTCATGCCCATATAACTCTGGTACTGCCATGTTCACCATCACCTTGAAGCAGATGGCCTAACAGGATGATGCAATGGCCTTCCCCCCCCCTTTTTTTTAATTTTTTTTATTTTGTTCTAGCACCAGCTGAGTGGAAAACATTTTCAGGGGCCTCTGAGATGTTATATATGGTCTGATTCCTCTGAGGTGTTATGTGTGGTCTGATTCATCAACCTATACATGGTGATATTTCTATCTAGATTTATGAATTCAACAATCAAGGGGTAGAATTGAGAATGTCTGCTCTTCCTGTGTAATTTTTGCCTCACCCATCTGTTTATATTTGTGATAATCTGGTGTAACTCTCCAAAATCCATCAATCTTCTGTAAGGACAAGAGGCAGAAAGAGTGAAAGAATGAATTGATGAATTTATCATTCCTGCATCCTTCAGATCTTCTTTGGTAGAAGTAATTCTCATCTCTTCATGAACACCGGATTGATTTTGTTTCTAATTTTGGTATGTAAGGGTCAGTTCTAGGGACGGACAGTGCCATTACTACCAAAAAGCCCTCATTCTGCAGATCATGGAGTTAACCAGTGAAGCAGGAATTCTGCCAGTTTCTGACTATTTCTCCTCCAAATCTACGTTTCAGAATTAGGAAAATAACTGTCGGATAGGTTTAGGGACTCTGATTCAGTACGAAACAGATTTAAGCCAAAGCTTAATTAAAGTGTTTGACTTCCATAGACTCTTGGTCTGACTATGGCACTTCAGTGGCAATTCAGGTCACCAGCAATTAGTATCAATTCAGAATCAGTAATCTAGTAGTCATCAAAAAGTCTGATTATTTCCCTCTTCCCAGCACACTCATCCCATCAGGGAAGACTAGAAGTTAGATTTACAGTATGAATTTTGGAGAATTTCCAGCAGAATCCTTCCTCTAAAAGATATAGCCTTCCATTTATTCAGAAAGTTCTGGGTCTGTGAACCTGCTGTCACATGGAATGGATCAAGGAAAAGGAATTCCCTGGTGTGGTGATTCAGGTCATACTTATTTTCATCAAGTCTAGAGATTAAATGCTTATACAAACCAAGTAAGACCTTAGTAGTGTGCTCATCTCTTTCAGTACTCTGGCCTCTGTAATCAATTAACCAATGCCAAAAATCTTTGTAGGTCACACCTTTAGCTTTACCCTTCTGACTCTGCTTACCCCTTAAACCATACCCATCTGGCCCCTGGAATTTAAATGCCCTTGTAGAATTCCATCATCCTCAGTAAATTCAAGAAGCTCTGTTCTGTGGCAGCATTATGTCCTTTCTGGTTTACAGAGAACAGCTACTATGAATTTCTTTAAGAATTCCAGTACTACCTTCACCAATGTATTTTTCAAGTCCTGGTGAAGGAAACACCCTTTGGACCCTCTTAGGGGACAAATTTAACACATAGACGAGCACATCTATGTAGTTTTTTGTTTTTTATTAATCGCTCTAAACTTGTGTGTACTTTCCTCTTTATTACAAGGAAGTTTTAGTATCTCAGCTTCATTCAGTGTAGACCACCATTGGGTCCAGTTTTCAGTCTTATTGTTAGAGTTACTCCCAGACTTATGAACTAACAATTTGAATCCAGAATCTCAGCTTAGTGAACCCATAGTAAAAGCAATTAATATAATATTGTATTCCTTTTACCCTAATTTATATCATTAAAAACATTCCTATACATATATCTTGGGTTTCAGTTAATGTGAATTGGTGAAATCCTGCAATTCCTCTGGCCTGTATGTTAACACCTTAGAGTCATACTTTTTATCTGGTTCTGGATCTTCCAGGACTTGAATCTGAATATAGATTTAGAAGATAGCACAGGTGGTAGACATCAGCAGTACAGTTAAAAAGGTTTTATTTCAAGACAGTCATAAAAGCTTTCTGGTTCCCAACTTCGACCTTGAGCTGTGAATGTAAAACCCCAGGCATATCTCTTTCCCTAAGTTCTCCACCTGATTTAGAAGCAATGAATCCAACCCCAAAGTCCTTTTTCTATTTGTTTCTATGAAAAATTTTTATTGCAGCAGGTATTTTGTAACCCAGGACCTCGCTTTCTCTAGGTGCTTCACTCCAGGTAGCTATCAGTGAGAGTTTATATAACCATTCTGCTCTGAATGACCAGGGTCCCAACTTACTACTTGTCATTAATGCCTTTAAGTCTAGTCATGTCAGAGAACTAACTCCAGGGTTCATTTGTAAAATTCTGTTCTTTGGAAGCACTTCTGGTACTGGTAGTTGCCAGGGTTCATCAGCAAACCTGTGTTAGGGGATGACAGATTTGAACTCATAAAGCTGCAGGAATAGCTGGGGAAGTGAAGGTCTGTAAGAGGAGTTGAAGGATCAGAGCAGTCACCAACCAGTCTGAGCAGCCAGGCACAACTAGGTAAGTGTAACTATGAAAGAGTGATTTGTAAAGACGTCTGTGAGATGCTGTTGCCTCTGTGTAGCTTCTTCCTTTGTAGGACCACAGCCAGACATTGGGTAGTGGATCTATTTCCTGATGGTCATCAGGACCTAGAGTTAGCAATGAGAAACAGATGTGGAGCTCAGGAGAGCAAAAGGCAGTCTAGAACCTGCCTCTGCCTCTGTCACTGTATCTGATTGTAAAAAGAAGTTCAGATGAATGGATGCAATTTTGCCTTCCAAATCTCATGCCAATTTCTCTTTCAGCCGCTTCTAACACTGACTCACAGAAAGAAGGGGATTCTGGAAAATGAAGTTGGCCTTTTTTATGATTTTTTAAAAATATTTTAATAGTAGATCCTTGTTGGTTATTTATTTTAAGTATAGCAGTGTGTGCATGTCAATCCCAATGAAATTTGCCTTTTAACTGTGGATAATAGAACTTCGGGTCTTCCCAGGTGGAACTAGCGGTAAAGAACCTACTTGCCAGTGCAAGAGACATAAAAGACACAGGTTTGATCCCTGACGGGAAAATCCCCTGGAGGAGGGCATGGGAGTTCACTCCAGTACTCTTGCCTGGAAAATCCCATGGACAAAAGAACCTGGCAGGCTACAATCCAAAGGGTTGCAAAGAGTCAGACATGACTGAAGCGACTTAGCACGCATGCACAATGACTTCAAATTTCTTTTATTTTCCCCCATTTTGCTTTATATCAGAGATGACCGAAATGAAAAGTCTTATGCTCGCTTAAAATAGCAGTGAGCCTTTTTTAAGCACTTGATATATGCTAAGCATTCTCTTAACCACTATACGTATTAAACCTCACAGCACCCTTGTAAGGAACCATTAATACCTTCACATTGTAGCTGAGGAAACTGAGACCCAGAGAGACTCAGCAACTGGCCCAAGAGCACAGGCTAGTTGCATGTCACAGAGACACTCTGACGTCAGCTTCTGTGCACTCAGGTAACCTGATTGCCTCCCTCACTCATCAGTTTTGAAAATGTTATATGGTAGGTGCAGAAGGATTTATACTCTAACCACAGACTTTCTTTCTAATCAAAACTATCCAACTAATTTTCAAAGCAAGATAATTTTACGAACCCCAACTGTTCATCTGAATATTGTCCAGACTTTTTCAGTGGAAACACTTTTGGATATTTTAGTTGGTTTGGCGTAAGAAAGGAAGGGACTGAGGGAGGGTGAGGAGAAGAAAAAAGAATATCCTTAATTAATATTTAGAAAATTTTGCCTAGTGAACCACATTTAATCCTATTTTTATCATTCTCATGTTTCAAAAGACTTCTAGGCCCAAATCCAAGGAGAAATGATGCTTTTATGAACATTTGTTTTAAAGAAAGAGAACGAATGATTAGGTGCATGGTAAGAGTCAAGAAGCCCAGATATCCAGATCTCTACCAGATTATTCCTACAGTGTAACTACTTATATTTATTTATACTCTGTTCCTCTAGATTGAAGGTGTTAGTGACAATGAAGAAATAGAACCCCTAAGACAGTATTTATCCAATCACTCTCAGGTCAATTTTTTGTAGTGTTGAAAGGAGAACAATGAAATGGGTGTTATGTGATCAAATAAATTTGGCAAATGCTAGCAATGGCACCCCACTCCAGTACTTTTGCCTGGAGAATCCCATGGACAGAGGAGCCTGGTGGGCTGTAGTCCATGGGGTCGCTGTGAGTCAGACACGACTGAGCGGCTTCGCTTTCACTTTTCACTGTCATGCCTTGGAGAAGGAAATGGCAACCCACTCCAGTGTTCTTGCCTGGAGAATCCCAGGGGCGGCGGAGCCTGGTGGGCTGCCGTCTATGGGGTCGTATAGAGTCAGACACGACTGAAGTGACTTAGCAGCAGCAGCATTAATGAAGTGGAACTTCTCAGTCTTCCATGGGAGTCTGTGCATTATAAACTACCAGAAGAGAATATGGAGTATGGGATCCTTTTTTCACTGGGCATGACTGATTGAAAAACAGATCACTAAGCCATTTTTTAATCAAATTTAATTGCATTATCAACTTCCTGTCAGAGAAGAGCCCTTTTTAGGGCGCTGAAAGAGGTAACAGCCACCATTATTTATTGAGCAAAGGGCTTTGTGAGGTTCTTCAGACATGACTCATGTAAGGATGGAAGCATCCAACATGGCTGCTCTTTCATAATATATCCAGTAGAGTGGCTCATAAACAGAGAGAAATATATTATCAAACAAAAGACAGTAAGATAAACAGATCACTCTGAAATTTCAAAGGAAGAAAAAATTATTTCTCTTACTAGAGAAAATACGTGAAGTTTCTGTGAAAGGCTGNAGGAAGAAAAAATTATTTCTCTTACTAGAGAAAATACGTGAAGTTTCTGTGAAAGGCTGGGTGTCAGCCATGGCCTGTGAAGTATAATTAGGAAGTGGTCAACATCCAGGGTGGGGAAGAAATTATTCTGGGCAGAAGGACTGGCCTCAACAGAGGCACGATTTAGGGGTGGAGTAAGAGTGGAGTTGGCCAGCAGCAGAAGAGGGAGGAGAAAGCATGATTTCCTGATGGTCAGTCATGTAGGCTACCCATAGGGATAGTTGTGAAAAGTAAGAACTGATGGTTTAGGGGTGATGGTAGACAAAGGATGGTGGGAGAAGATAAGCAGTCTGAAACTGAACTTATAAAAGGAAGGAGATAGTATACAAACTTCTGAGCATCTAGAGCACAGTGGAGGAATCTAAAAGGAAGGACGCCTAAGGAAAACTGATGGCTCATTTCACCTACCTCATACTTTGGCTAAGGAAAGGATCTAATCAAATATATTTGGATCTGGGTTTTATGTCTCCACTTGCCAATATAGAGAGCCAAAGAGAAGTAAGGTTCTTCTTGAAGATGTGTGTTATTCCCCAAAGAACCTTTTAGGAAAAGCAAACAGCCTGAGAAATATTTGTTCATTAGATGTGTTCTGGCAGCAGCCAGAAAAGTCCAGAGAGTACCAAGGACATGTACATATACATAACACACTTGATTCTTCAAACACTGATGATTTAACTCTTTTGTTATCAACTGTTATGTGAAGTCCTTCTTACTTTCTCTGGTAAGTGTACTGATTAAAAAAAAAAAAACTCAAATATTTTAAGTATCGTAAGACAGTGATAGAGTTTGGGTCCAAAAATTATTGCAGAAAACACTGGTTGTTAATCCAGTTTACAGCTATCAGTAGGACACATGATTTTTTTCAACACCCTCATGTTTATTGCCATAAATAAGGGAAGTACTCTCTAGCGTCTGCTTGATTCAAGAACATCCTGGCTGTTGAGTCTAGTAAGCCATAGGGCACTCTTCTGAAATCTGGTGCTGATATATTCCACATGTAACCCCATTACCTTTGTAAGAAAATCCTTCCTGCTGAATCAGATGGGTTTGCATCTGAGGCACAAACATAACAGGCTGTGTCTTTTAAACATTGCTGATGTGTCTATCCTTTGCCTTCTCTTCCTCTAGATGAAAATCCGTATTTTCCTGGTGAGAAGTATGGTTTTCCAGAGACAGAGTGGCTTGTAATGAGAGAGCTTATCTACCTTAAAGTCTTCTTACTTTCTTGGTTTGGGTTGTTTTCCTTACCTTCCTTGCGGCTTGGGTTCTTTGGGCGGCGGTTGGTTTCCTTGGGGCCGGGGCTTCTTCAGGCCCCGGCCCCCTTGTTTTCTTTTTTTTCCAGTTCCCGTTTTTGACCCTTGGGCCCCTTCCCATTGTTTTAACCGGTTAGGGGCGGGTTCAAGGGGCCTTCGGGGGGGGATTGCCCCAGGGCATTCTTTGGGGGCCTTAACTTCTTTTGGCAACGATCAAGCAAATTCTTGCTATTTCCCCCTCAAGCTGAGGCTGACAACCTAAACACGGTTAGGTTTCACATAACCCTGAGACTCTGGGAGTCAAAACATGAGAAGAAACAAGATCCTGCATATCACATGTGAGGCTGCAGAGACAAGGCCAAGCCAGCTGGGTCAGCTCGGCAGTGTTCAAAGAGAAGTATCAGTTAATGTCTCTACAGGTGATTAGCATGTGCTCCATATTATGGACTGGAACCCTGAAATTCCGGTAGCCTTGATCCAAACAGTACTTCCTCTTAAGCTGTTATTTTTGTATGAAGAGACATCTTCATTCATCCTTTACAATTGAATAAGTATGGGCACAGCTGTTGCATTCAAGTGTCCGAGGGTATAGAGAGAGAGAGTGTGTGTGTGTGTGTGTGTGTGAGGTGTGAAGGGTAAGTCAGGGTGCTACATTGTCGCCTGTGTTGATATGCCATTTTGAGAGTGGTTTCTGAGCACAGCCCACAGCCATGGTTTCACACCATCGGGCACCCTCAGGCTCATTAATTATGGACCACTCTGAGAGCAGCAGCCTTGCTCACCTCTGTTTTCCACTGTAGATGCAGGGAGGCATGGATCTCTCTGTTTTGCCAAATAACAACCATCCTGACAAGTTCCTGCAGCTCGATGTGAAGTCTTTAATGAGGAACTCAGCCCTTCTCCAGGCCAGCCTGGTGAGGTTTCCGGGAGGGAATTACCCTGCTGCACAGCACTGGCAAAACCTCGTCTACTCACAGGTAAGGTCTGGGAGCACGCGTGTATGTAGATGGGGGCTTGCTGTCTTCTCGGCACCTGCTACTTCATCATTTGTGCGAAAAGGTTACAGGCAACAGAGTACAGGGTAGCTGCTCACTCTTGCCATGGAAAGGGGCTTTCTCTCTTCATCAAGGGAAGGAGACTTTCTCTGGTCACTTGATCAACTCCGTGAACTATCTCAACCATTCGTTTTCCTTCATGCCCCAGCTTCTCATACTGTCATCTTTTTAGATTTTTGCCTAGCCCTCCCTTCGGATGTTTTCAGATCAATTACTACATTTGCAGATAAGGCTCTGGGTGGAACCCCACCTCTGTCTTCTGGTGTAGTCTAGGCATAAAGCATCCGAAGCTTACACTGTGGGCTCATACGTGGCCTCTAAGACAACTAAATCTTGCTTCCACCTCATTTAGACTGGCTCCCTTTCATCTCATGGGGAAGAAACTCAAACAGTGAAACAATAGAAAGAAAGAAAATAGAGGGAACTCTGTACCTGAGTAAGGTGCTGGCTGTTATTGTAGAGGCTCTTTGTTTCGGCGGGTGTCCATGTAGACAAGACTTAAGCAACCTTCAAACCCAGACTTCATTTCTTGCTCGCTTCTTCTGCATCTTCCTTCTTTTTTGCTAACCACAAGAGAAGGATACAACTGATGAGTTCCATGTGCTGAAAGAAACATAAAGGCCCTGAGTGTTGCACAGCTCATGAAATAGGAATAATCTTTGTTTTAAGACATGAGGGCTAACGGGGTTAAGGGTTAGTCAATTTAGAAACAGGAAGAAGCGTTTCATTTCAGAACAGATGTGACTGACCTACAAACCCCTGCAAATCATTAAATCCTTTGGAGTGGTTCAAATTCCCCGAACAGAAATTTGTTTTCTTTTAAGAAACAGTTGCTACTCATGAGTCCTGGTGTAAAGTGACTCCTTTGTGGTGTGTTTGTGGGCTTCTCGGGACCTTTATCGTGAGATCATTTAGAATCAAGTACACTTGGATGGTTATATAAGTGTTTCCTCCACCTATGAGGGTTTTAATTCATTTCCATTGTAAGGCAGCCTATTATGACAACTGACTTTTTTTAAATTTTACATCCTTCCCTTTTGTAATTTTCAAAACCCATCCTCCACACCTTTTTGGTGGCTGCTTTTTGTGTGTTTTGCTTAGTTAAATGCGATGAAATTCCTCCTTTGTCTTTCTTACTGTTTATATCATGAACTAAAATAATTCAAAAGTCAGCTTAGAATACCTTGGCCCTCCTGTGCTATGAAGTTTAGTCTAAGAAAACATATCCAATAAATTCCTTTGAGGTTGGAACACACCAATCTAACATCTTTTGTTTAGTACTGGAGTTGACCTGTTTCCTTCATGTGGAACTTCACAGTTTAAAGCTCCATTGAATATTGTTCCTAAACCTGAATGAAATGCGAATTTTAAAGGGCATTGTTTCCCAACAGGCCCTGAGGTATAGAAATAGTTTTACAGGGCAAACCAAGGAAGTAAAAATCTGTTTCATATGTCTTTGAATGTGTCATTGGTAATCATAAACTATAAATAAACTTGATTTAGTTATAACTTTACCCTAAGAAGAAATGTCTAATAACTGAATAAAGGCCAATACACTACTAAATAATGCTTGAAGGGAAGAAGTAAATCAATTACAAATTTAGTTAGTTGGGTAAGTGTGGCTCAAATGAGTAAAAACAATTATATTTGATACTGTAGATTGCAATATGTCAATAAATAATGCTTCTCTCCTTGGTTGGATCTTAAAAATTCAAGAGTGGTAATATTCATTGGTTAAAAAAGACAAATCTGAAAGAAAGGAATGTATGAAAGCTGTAAGTAGCTGTGGTGATGCCTGGAATAAGGGCACTGAATATACCAGGTGGACCGAGATGTTAGGGGTACGGGAGGTGGCAGGCAGGCGTTAAGTAGTTCTTAATTTAAAACCCTCACTTTGTTGGCTTAATGTCTCACTCTGTGGGGAGACATGAAGTCAATTGAAGAACATTGAACAAGGAGATTTGAAACTTGGTTTCTTGTCCCAAATCCACAATAAACCAGTTTGAGAGGCATCGATTGTGGTGCTTATTCAGCCCATGCTTTAGTATTTCCACTTGCAAAATTAGTGTAGTATTCACTTTACATAGTTCCTTAAAAGTGACAGCAAATAAGGTAAAAACAACTGACAGAGTTTCCTTTAAGAGAATAAGAAATGGGTATCATCATCATCATTTGCTATTAATAGTATCCCCGAATGTGTTTAAATTAGCCTGTCATTAGAATTTGGAATAGCAGATAATACCACTTGCATTCTTTGATATATTCCGTGGATGGAGGGGGGTGTGTGTGCGCGTGTTAGATGGTGTAGTCAGTACTTCTTCAAACTCTTGTGGCCAAATCAAGCAGTTAGATTATATACTGCCATGAAATCCACACAAATTTCAGAGTTGTGTTAGCTTACCTTTTTGGCTCACAATCTGTCCATCCCCCGCCCCAGGTACATAGTATTTAGAATTAAGCCTACCTCAAGAAATGTCAAAGGACTTAACCTACAAACATTGCCTTCAACACTGGTAGTAACCGAACAGTTGAAACAAGAACGTTCTAAGGACTTCCCTGGCAGTCCAGTGCTTAAGACTTTGCTTCCACTGCAGGAGCCAAGTTAGGGAACTAAGATCTCACATGCTGCGCAGAGCAGCAAGAAGAAAAAAAAAAAAGTAGTGTATTTCTATTCATGATTTATGTTTTATGATTTTTGAAATTCACATTCTACCTTCAGAGGCAATTTTCTAAGGCATTTTACATGAGCAGAAGCAATACCATGCATATAGGAAAGTAAGCAAGGATGTCCCCAGGCACGCCAGCATCTCAGGATACTGTTCATTCCCTTTGTGAACATGCATACACAGGTCACCTGTGTCTGAAGGTAAAGAGTACAAGCAGGTACTTCTTGATCTAACTAGATTTATACTTTTTCTTTAATTCTTTCACTAGAGAAATGAAGAAGGCTTCCTGATAAATTTCTTCTCAATGCGATGAACAAACTTTTGCCAAAATCTAATATTTCTGGTTGTTGAAATAATTGGGGGCATGTATCTGATGAAGGCATTTGGAATTATATTCCAAATATTTCTTCCAATCCCTTTATAGAGGAAGGTTAAAAAAAAATTCCTTTTCTTTGGGTATAAATGATAAAATATATTTTTTCAGATATTGTAGTGGGATTTTTCTTCTGATTAGCAGTTAGACTTCAGAATCTTTCCAGACTAGTCTATTTGTTCTATCTTTTCCTGACTTTTCTGACGTCTGTTTGAGAACTCAGGGGACTGCTGTACTATACCTCTGAACTAGAGGAGAAGATCAAGGGTAAGGAGGTTGCTCTTCCCTTGGTTTCTAGACAAGGTCATTTCCTGGGTGTATTTCCTTATCACCTTTCCTCACTTTCTTTTTTCAGTCTTATAGCTCTCTTTTCCCTTTAAATTATAATATCTCTTCTTTCTCCCTCAGCTTTGTTTGTTTGTTTGTGTGCATCATAACTATATTTCACAATCTGTGAACACATGTCATGCCTTCTCCAGGACTGTCTCTATTTCAAGTACTCCATAGCCTATTTCAATAAGAGCAGTCTGTATAAGCTTATATTTGGGCAAATGTTGTAGGACTTTTGAGGTACATAAATTATTGTCTAGAAAGTAGATTAAGGGGCATCATTGAGTTGCTCAGGATTTTACTTGCAGTTGTCAGGACATGATTTTATCAAGTTTTGCTAAATTTATGTAGTTTACAAAATCTCCAGTGGGGTCAGCACTTCCCCCCGGATGATAATGCTGCCAAAAGCATCACCCCCTTTGTCCCATCACTGCTCCTCAATGAGACCCACATGCCTCTGGCACTGAAACCTCATTAAAGCACAGTGTCTCACAGGATCACATGTGGGACTCCAGAGCCCTGGTGACTTGGAGGGGAAAGCAGAAGAGGTTCAAGAGAGGTCTGGGTCAGACTGGGAAGGCTCGATGGGAGTTGTCTGAGATTTCAGATTTTATCCTGAAAGTTCGGAGGGGTTGATGAAAAATTTTAAGCAAGAGAATCACATGATCAAATCTGTGTTTCATAAAGGTAACACTTAGTAATTTGGAAAACAGAATTATCGTGACCAGTGGGGAGCTACTTTCTAGGAAAAGTTGTCTGTGGGTTCACATGTAAAATACAAACAAAATACCCTGTTTGGATTATGATTATGATAGGAATTACATTGTAAGTATAAACCACATTGGGGAAAATGGACATCTTTAGGATCTTGATTTTCCCAATTTGTGAACATAGTATGCTACAGTCCATGGGGTCGCAAAGAGTCAGACACGACTGAGCGACTGAACTGGACTGAACCTTTTCAAAAAGAAATAGCTTTCAATATCATTGATTCATTCCATCGTATATCTGGGTTATTTTTCTTTTAATATTTATTGATCTCTCCTGTCTTTATTATTTAATGGTGACTATATTCTTAGATTTACTCTGACCAACATTCATCCCCCATCAGAGGCAGTCACTACGTTTAGCCAGTGACCCATCCATACAGTCCTATAATCTTTGCTGCACTAGAAATGCAATCACTGCAGTAATTCTTCCTTCCTGAATGGGAAAAATGAAAGAACGCAGAGACTGCTTCATAGTAATTCTGAGATCCTACTGGGAATAGTTTGTGTGGCCCTCCTTCCTTGATGGTGGGGAAGATGGATTAGGCCAGGACTCTCCTCTTTAGAAGATCTCCTGGGGCATTGTTCTCTAGAGTTCCTGGTCCAGCGCACTAGGAAGCATTCCCTTGTATATCAAAGTCTTTTTCCATATCAAAGCGGGCCCCCCTCAAGGCTAGAGAGGCTTCAAAATTCACTCCTATTAGTCCATTAATAATAAATACATCCAGTTTGGAGGCATAGGATTACTGTTGTTTTGTTGGTTTAGTCTGTAATTTTTAACAATCTTTTAAAAACTTTTTGGTCTAGGCTTGTGGTTTCTCTGGTGAAACATTTCTGATAAAACTTAGTTTGAGCTACTTATTAATGTAATCATTTCTATTTTGTTGTGGTCACTTCTATACGTCAGTAAATACACCTCAAGTTCCTTGAAGGCATCACTCTCGAATAGGCTTTAATGGCTTGCTTTTCTGCCTCCATTTCTCTGTCTTTTGACTCAAAGACAAATGCCTGGAGACAGTCTGGAGTAATAGTTATGAAACCACACCCTAACATGACCTTTATCCTGAGTCACTTCATTCTACTAGGAAACTTAAATGGGCTTTTTTTTTTTTTCTTTCTTTCTTTCTTTTTTTGGGGGGAGGGGGAGCTCAATTAGTGTTTGGAGTCTATAAACACAGTCAGATTTTTAACAATAGAAGGCATCAAATTTCCATAGTTTCTTTGTTTTCTTGCAAATGATTCAGTTCTTTCTATCATTTCATCTCTTTCTTATAACATAGCAATGCTGTGATCCTTGTACATGTATTACTTATCCCTCATAGAGCTACAGGGGATTAGATTCCAAATGACCACAAATAACGCACCAAACATTTCTCGCTGTATGATATGAATAGCCATTCATCCAGCTTCTGATACTCCTCTCATCCCTCTCTACCTCTTAACTGCTAAGCCAATGCTAACAGTTGTAGAATTTCAAGCTATCACTTTCTGTACTAAGGGGAATGTAGGCTAGGCCACACTATGATGACAAAATATCAGTAACTAAAAAGAAGAAAAACATACTTGTGCATGAAAAGTCTGAGAAAGGACAGATAGGTTGGGGTTGGGGGTGGTTGGGCAGCTCTTTTCCAAGCAGTATCCTAGGGCTTGAAGTTCTTCCATCTTACATAGCTCTGCCACTTCAGAATCCTTGCTTACAGTGACACAGTAGAAAATGGAAAGTGAGGACAGGTGAGCCAAAAATCTTGTTGGAGAATTCAGGGGCTCAGCCTGGAAATGATTTCTGTTACTTCTGAGCCCACGACAACTACTAGAGAGAGTGGGCCCAGTTTAACTTCAAACAGCCTGAGGAAGGCAGTCACATCTTGTGCTCAGAAAGGGAAAACGAAATTAGTGAGTATTTAACCAGTCACACCACCAGCTCTTTGTTTATATTTGCCTACTATATATTTTTATGTACTTTCAACTCTCATTTTTTCTGAGTTCTTGTATTTTAAGTATTTTAAAAATCTCATATGATGTCTCTGTTATTTAGAGGGTTTCATCTATTTATGTTTAACATGACTGTTTCAATTTTTTTTCTGTTTCCTAAGATTTTATCCTCTGTATTCTTTGTTTCAGGTTTCTTATCTTTTAGATTAACTTTCTGTCGTCTTTTTTCTTCTGCTCTACTGATTTAGAATCTACACATTCTTTCTCTATTTTTAAGTAGTATCTCTATCCTCTAAGAGAAATTGTTTCTTGAAATTTCATAATTAAGGACTTCTCAAGTGGCCCAAGGGTCTATACTTCCACTGCAGGAGCTATGGATTTAACCCCTAGTTAAGGGATGAGGATCCCACATGCTGTGTGGTCAAAAAGAAGAAAGGAACTTTCTCAATCAAGTATATCTGTTAAAGATTTTACTGTTTAGTTTTAGGTTTCTCTTATCTTAAAACTCACAAATTAGTGATTATTATTTCTATTTTACCATAAAATCAGTGCTTGCTTAGATTTCTGTATACATTCATCAGCTTTTTTCCTTTTGTTCTTTTTCTTTGTTTTTCCTAGCATTTCTTCTTGCATCTTAACCTTTCATTCTAATATCAGGTTTATTCTTCCTGAAGTATATTTTTTAGAAGTTCCTTCTTTATTGGCCTATTAATTGTATACTCTAAGTGTTTGTTTGTCTGAAAGTCTTCTATTTCATTCTTTTTATTAAATGATAGTTTACTTATACATAAGTGGGATAAATATTGATTAAAGTGTATAAAGGATATGTGGACAAAGTAATGGTTAATACCGAAAAGCCTAGGTAAGCTTTGAAGCTTATTTCCTTAAACAGTATTTTTTTTAAGTTATTTTAGAGCCCATGTAGTTAAAATAATGAAATTAGTATTGTACTTCCTTTTGATAAACGTAGTCCATGTAGAATGTAAAGTAAAAAATTAAAATCAAAGACATGCTTTGGTTTTCATTCTGAAGAGATTTTTTTTTTTAGTTTATCAAAATATAGAAGAACCTCAACCACAATTAGTATATTCTGTTTCTTCCATAAAATTCTTAATAAAATTATTCTATTAATTTTTCCTTCACATGTCCTTCAGACATGAAATTGTCATACAGTGAAAAAATAAATGGCACTAAATTCTAAACCTCAAACAGTCAAGAATACTGTTTAGAATTAAGACCTTGAATGTCCTTTTAAAAATAGCTCTGATTATTTTTTATATCTTTTGTATATTCCTTTCTCAAGGTTTTTATACATTGTAATGGAGGGTATTATGTTTTTTTCTTAACCCCTAAAACTATTTTTCTGATTTATAGAGCTTTCCTATTTAGGAAACTCAAGGAATAGTCCAGCAGGCAAGAAAACAGACAGAGCCAATTTTTCAATGTCAGAAGGATTATTTCTCTTCAAAGATGATCATAGATATCTAACCTTGAAGCAAAAAAACTTGAGTCAGAATTATGCTAAACTGAAACTATCTAAATTTTATATCAAATTGTTTTTTCTCAGTTCCAGAAACATTTTTCATGAGTTCATCCATCTTAAAGATGAATGCTAAGTCAAGATGATTTATTATTTCATTGCAAACTTCAGTATTATAGAATATAAATTGATTTTGAACAGACCAGCAATCTAATAAAGTCAGATAAGACCTCCAAGTTGATCTCTACCTATCTAAAAAAAGTCTGGATTAAGAAAATTAGGGAAACCTAAGGCCAAAGAGAATATGAATGACTTTATCTAGATGATTTTGTGGGGCCTACCAGCCATTTCAGAAGGAAGCTACATATATTAGTTTACAACTTTGCTTATATAAATACGTATTTAATGTGACCTATATTCCCCAATAGATATGAGGGAATCAGTGCATTGATGATTATAAATATAACTCAGAAAAACATTAATTGCTACTTAAACTTCTCTGTTTAGGAAGGCTGATATGTGAAACACATTTATTGAAAAATTGCTGTAAGATAATGAAATGTGTCACTAGTTTTTAAGAGTCAAACCTAAGTTTTCTGAAAATTAACTTACGTGGAATTCCTTTCCCTTGATGCCCTATGATAAATAAGGCATTACTCTATATGCTTTCTGTTTCTTCTCCAGTTTATTTGGTCAATGAATAAATTTTAATCTGAAATTTTTCTATCTTCATAATAGCTTTGTGGTCATAAGAAAAAAAAGGCAAAGTAAAAATATGAAGGTCATACCAGACACAGAAAAACCACATTGTTTTTGTATAATCCATTTATATAAATGAGTACAGACTGACCTGTGATGGGGATTCTGGAGATACTTATTATCCTTGGGGAGGGGAACCAAGAGTAATTAGAAGGCAGTGTGGGATATGCTGGTATGGTTTCTTTTTTGGTAGTATCTTGGGTTTATTTGATATGTGAAAATTTATTGAACTCTACATTTATAACATATGTACTTTTCTACATGTATATCATGGTTTAATTTTTAAAAAGTTTTTAAAGATCTGAAACTCAGAATTAGAGCCATCCAATAGCCAGCTGGTCTATAGTGACATATGGGCTTCCCTTGTAGCTCAGTCGGTAAAGAATCTGCCTGCAGTGCAGGAGACCTGGGTTCGATCCCTGGGTTGGGAAGATCCCCTGGAGAAGGAAACGGCAACCCATTCCATTATCATTGCCTGGTAAATCTCATAGACAGAGGAGCCTGGTGAGCTGCAGTCCATGGGGTCGCAAAGAGTCGGGCACGACTGAGCGACTAACACTTACTTACTTACTTACTTACTTACTATAGTCACATGTAAGAGTGCAATGCTAAGTTAGTTTAGTTCTTCAAGCTTTCCAAAATTGGAGTCCCAAGGGAGTTCCCATGAAAGCCAAAGCATAGCTGTAAAATGCCTTTTAATCTTGACTTTGCTGGATTAATACAGCAGTGTTAAATATTATTTTTTTCAGTCGTAGAATGCACAGTGAAACAAGGTAACATGTCATTAAGTCTCAGTGCAAGTGAACTGGGGAAAATGACTTTCTTTAGAATTCTACTGTTTGAATTAAGGAACGCTGTTCTTTCTCTGTCACTGTAAAATAGCATTTTAATGAATGATTACTGAATCTGAACACAATCACATGCAAAGAAAGAACTCAGTGATAGAATCCTAAGTCAAACTAGATCCTAGAATTCTTCCTTCATTCATTGTCCTAATCCGTTGGGTCCAGGCAGAATCATTAAACTTTCTGGTATAGTTATCTCACATTTTCCTTCCCTATCATCAGTGACCTCTTGGTAAGAGAAACTTTGTTACTGTGCCTCCTGACAGAGAGAAAAGAAGAATATTACTGTTCAACGCCTGAGGGGATCCAGTGCAAAGGGCACCATCACTGTAGACAGCCCCCCACCATCCTTATCATCAGTTCTGAAGAATAACCCACTATATGGTGATGTAAGTTTTGAGGAAGCTATGGAAGAAAGAAAAAAGAATCCTTCATGGACTGTTGAGGAATATGACAAGCGTTCCCTGCATACCAACCTCTCTGGGCATCTGAAGGTACTCAAGGCAAAGAACCAACTCCTTTAATTGATGAGGGAGATCAGTTACATAATCTTAAAAGAAATGGGTATTAAGGTGAGAGGCACTCTTCACTGAGCACAAAAGTCTCCAGATTTGAGGTCATTTTGGCCTCTGGCTTTACCTTCTCTCTCCTAGTCAGTATTTGTGTTTATTTATGTGTTTTGTGTTTTATAATTTCAGCAATTACCGGCATCACTACAGTGTAGAGAGAAATGATGTGACAAGAAGAAGGGTTTACCTGGAAGGTATCAGGTTGTGAGAGTCAATTTGCAAGATTAAGTGTTTTTCCCTAGATTTGAGATCATTTATGTTTGTGAATAGCTGAGTTCCTTTTTCTACATTTTTTCAAATATATTGATTAATTGCTGTGTCTTAGGCATTGTGCAAGGCAGTTCTCATCAAAGATCATTTTATTTCAAGCATACTCGGTGATTTAAGATTGCAGATTTACATTTTGGACATTTTCCTGTGTCTCAGTAACAAAACAAAACAAAACAAAGGCATTTCAACACAGGAAAAGTATGCAATGAACTCATTCACCCAGCTTAAACCCAACTCAAGTTTTTCCTTTTCTTTCCCCTGGTGTCACCCTTCAAACAGAACGTCTAGGAATCCCTGAAAAGCAGGGAAAGTGACCCTCTGTTTTCCAAGTGGACTGGATTCCTACCCAACCTTGCCTGTCCTAGGGCCAGAAAGCCCTGACATTTTTCAAGTGTAGCAGTGTATGTTTGTCCTAAGCCTCATACTCTAGTCACCTACAGGCTTCCTTCTGAAGGGGACAGTATTACATCCCCTTAAAGTCTTATACTTTAAAAAATCTCAAATGTGCACTCCTTTAAATATTGTCCAGAATCTTTGAAGTTTCTTTATCTCCCAGTGAATTTAGTGTATCTCATCCTTAATGTAGCCCCTTCTCCAGAGATGTTTCCATAACAGATGCTTCCCCCTAGCAACAGTAATCTTGTGTTTTTTTATCAGGAATCCAAAGATCAAGACTTCTAGGAAATAACCTACAACTAGGAAAGATATATTAATGTAGTTCACAAACATTTCCTGACTAGGTGCTAGAGCCTCTGGTCTTTGTTGTTTACATGAATGACAAGAGTACTATAAAGGTGAATATTCTTGCCCTCCAAAAGTTCATCTGAGTGAAGTATTAACAACAAGCAGTAACTCTAGGACAAGACAGAGGAAGTGACAAGAGAGAGGAAGACAGTGACTGTATGAATAGTAGAAAGTGCTGTGCAGATTCAAAAGAGGACAAAGTCACATTGAATTATAAGAAGCCTTTGTGGAAAAGTTAATTTAGGCTGGACTTGAAGGATATGTAAAATTCCAGATGACATGGGTTGTTTGCATGAGAGGAGAGGCTCTATTCTATCAGAAGTAACAAGAATAAAGGCACAAATATAAGAGTAAGAGAGTTTGTCAGAGCAATAGGTAGTCCATTTTTGCTAGAGCTACAGCTAAAGTAATAGAATAATGATGAAAATCAGGCTAACAAACAGACTCAAAATAAAGTTCAAATGTAAGGCTAAAGAAACTGAACATTATTGGCACTGAGGGGTAATTTTTTGTCAGCAGTACCATGACATGTTTAGGAAGACTGAGTGTGAATATGACGCATATATTGCTTTACTAAAACCAGGCTGGCCCTCATCCCAGCCTGCACACTCATCTCAGAGCAGAGGCCCCTCAGGTTGGAGACTGGGGTGCAGACCTCATGAAGTCACAACTTTGGTTTGTATTAGTATCTCTTCTTACACCTTATCAATTCAACTTACTTCATCACCATCCCTACCTCATCTCCTAATTAGCACATGGAAAGCCCAGCTTAATTTCTGAAACCTTTTCAACTACTTTACAGGCCATGAAAGCTCCATGTGCTTTTGGTCACTCCCATTTTTCTGAATTACTAAGTTTATGAATAAAAAAAGAGAAAAGAACCCCATATTTTAGTTACCAATGCAAGCTATAAGCAGAATGTGGGAGTGGATAGTCTCCATCATGGAAGTTCTTACTGAAGAATGAGGCATTACCCTGGCAGGCAAAGTGCAGGCCTCTGATTAGACACCGACAAAATGAAAATAAGAGTGAAGTCAGGCAAGGATTTTTAAATCATCTATCCTTCTGCACAAATCATCCAGATTTTATTTTAATAGCTTTCCTAAGACTGGACTTTAAAACTAATAGCAATGGAAGAGTTATATTGTAATCACCAGAATCCACCAGCTAGTTATTACAAGGGTAATAAGCTAATTCATTACCCGGCTGTGGAAACTAGCTAACTTGAAGTCAGTGAGACTAGAGAAGCTGAGAGAGGGTGGGCAGCCCAGCTACAAGCCATTGCAATAATCCAGATGAGAAACAATAAATCCTGAAATGGATTTGTGAAAATAGAGATTCAGCATTCACCATAAATTATTTGTTTGTCTACCAGATGCCAGGCATAGACACTGCATCTTTAGCACTGAAATAAGGGCTTCCCAGGTGGTACTAGTGGTAAAGGATCCACCTGCCAATGTAGGAGACAACAGACAACATAGTTGGGTCAGATCCCTGGGGTGGGAAGAGCCCTTGGAGAAGAGAATGACTACCAACTCTAATATTCCTGCCTGGAGAATTCCGTGCACAGAATAGCCTGTTGGGCTACAGTCCATGGGGTTGTAAAGAGTCGGACATGACTGAGTACACACACACACACATGCACACACATAGCAGGAGACAGCAGGGGATTGTGTGCGTGTGTGTGTTTTAGATATATGGACAGTAGAGCTTGCAGATGATTTTGGGTCATAGGAGATAAATTTGAGTTGAGGCCAATTCCGTAGTGTTGAAAGGGAGACGAGGCCTGTGAAAGAATCAGAAACAGGGATAAATAAGGATGGGAAAGGATATATGCGGTCCTTTATCCAGAAGGGCAACAAGTGCCAGAGTTTCTGCATGCTAGCATGCTGTAGCCCTCTATACCGAAGACCAGAAATTTGAGAAGCATGGAGAAGACTTTGGATTCTTAGTCTTACTCCTCCTCCCATGTAACTCAGCTTCTGGATTTACTGAAAAATTCAGCAAACATCTTCATTCCTACTATGCCAACAAAATCAAACCCCCAAGGTCATCTGAGGCAAGGAATTTTAATTTTATTTCAACTCACTAACTGTTTATAAATTGTAAGAGACACTAAATTGGCAAAAACATGGCAGAAACACTCTTGTGTTTGTGACCCTAGAGTGTGAGCAATTTATTTGGTAAACTGAATTGTCCATGAAGACCAACAGGTTGAAGCTGAGGATTCCTGGTCAGCCAGGAGGCTGTAGCTGCATGTTCCAGCTATTCAGAGAAGCCTAGCTTCTGTTATTAGCGCTCTGACACTTAAACCTCACTCAAGGCCATGTGAATATGGATGTAAAATACCTATACTCTCTTATTCTGCAATCTCAACTAGTCTGCAACATTGACTGATCCTATCCTCCATGTAATTTTCTTTTAGGAAAATCCTAACGACCTACGGTTTTGGTTGGGGGAAATGTACACACCCGGTTTTGATACCTTACTGAAGAAGGAAGAAGAACAAGAGAAGCATTCCAAATATCGTCGGATAGGTCTGATTCTGTTCCTCGTTGCCTGCATCTTGGTTTCCATAGTGACTGTTAGCACTTTTTTCATCTAAAGAAACTACCCCCAGACACAGTCACTTCAAATTTCTTTAAAATCTTTCTCAATAAACAGTTGCAGAAAAACATGTTCATGGAGTGTACATGTATTATTGATGGTTTAGTTAAACGTAATTGTCTTGGAGAATGCAAACTTCGTTTGAGATAATGCTGACTTTCTCTACTTTATTCTGTGAAACCTTTATAAGAATCCCCATCCTGAGCCTAGGCCTCTGGGCAGCAGGAATTCTGGGGATCATAACCTCTGAAAAGTATTAAGTGTGTATTAAGACAACCAAAATTAAACATTTTAACAGAGAATGAAACAGCACCAACAGTCGTCAGCAACTTTGTCTTAACGTTTACACTATATTCACCGTATTTTGAAAACACTGTTACCACCCCCCTGTCATCACTGGCGAAGTTGAGCAGATCATTTTGTGGCCACCTGCCAGGTATATAGGATAAAAACTTCTGGTTGTGTGTCCTGTTGGGTTGAATTCATGCTGTCTTATCTTCCTTTATTCTTGTTTAAGCTAAAAAAAAAGGGGGGGTACTGGGGAATATTCCAACATTTTTATTTTCCCAGCAATCCTTTATAATGCCCTAGTCTCATGTTGCGATTTTAATAGACCTAAACTTGGACAGGCCACAGTTATGTAATTAATCGCATTTAGATCCAGCTGCGCTTACTGATTGATCCACATTGGCTAGTGTGACCCCTGGTAGCAGTCGTGATGTAGCTCCAGGATTTAGCAGGCTGCCCTAGAAAACCAGAGAGGATGCTGCTGAAAGAACAGAACCTGCATCCTGAGTGTGCCTTTTGCTAAATCTTGCACCTCTAGCAAGTCCTCGTCTCCAAGAAAGGAGAATATCACCTGCCTGATAGGGCTTGCCTTAAGAGTAACGCCTGGCCCCTGGTAAGTCGTTGGCTAGTTAACTATGGTTGTTTCAACTAATTTGGGTTAACAGCACCTGAGGTCACCTTAATTGTGTGCAGGTGCCTGGGTAATGGCTCAGGGCACAGAAGGAGAAGCAGGTCACGGCTCTTTCCTCCCTTCTAGGACACTCTTCCCTTCCCTAAGTCCCCCATCCATGTTCCTTTTTCCTCTTACAAGACTCCTCCCCACCCCCAGACTATCTTGAGCAGAAACAAAAAAAAGGGGATTTTTCTTCTTCCCATTAGTCAGATTTCACCCTTGGGGTGGCCATATAATTTTCTTGTTATTTCTCTTAAAGATACTTGAACATTGAACAAAGTACTTGAACATTAAAGTACTGCGTGACTACAGTAAAATCATTGTGTTTAAAAATTGTCTTAAGCATGTTTCTCCTTTACTTCTTATTCCTTCTCTGCTTTGTGATAGGTTCCAGTCCATTTAGAACGGAATCAAGCAGCAGTGAAGGTCTGGGGCCTTCCTGAGGGCAAGCCCCGCCCCCACTGGCTTATAGACTTACTATAACTCTGCTTTCTAAGCTTGAGTGTCCAGTGTTTGCCTCTAAGGGATTCAAACATGTTCAGATATCTGCTTCACATGGAAAGCATTTGTACTGTGGCAGGTTACATCGGGCTGTCCAGGGCCACAAACAGGTAAGGCTCTCTAAAGGCATGAAGCAGAGGTAAGCATAGAAGTGTGAAGCTTCCCACCTGAACTCTTGGCCCCTCCACGTCATCTTCTCGTTCTTCTCTGGCCCTCCTATTCTCTTCTACCATTCTCTCCAGTCATTTCTCTTTCAGCTTGAATGAGTTTTTACTTTTGGGGAGCTATCGCTCCCAAACCAGTCTTCATTTTCAGCCTTCTATGTAACTGAAGAATCAAAATATATTATTGTCCCTCATCAGGTTAATGTTTGTCTCTACATGAGAGGGAAAGTCTTAAGTAGAGACAATACATCCCTGTGTGCACTAAAAATCATAACTGTGAGGGTTGTTCCATTCTCCTTCAGTATGAGTTTTGAAAATGGCTCACGCAGAAAAAGCATAATAAGATCATGGAAAATGCAGAGGTGATGTCCCTAAATAAGCTTAAGTTCAAACCTGGGCTTTCTTAAAAAGCTCCAATCCAGATTCAATGAAGTAATGCTTTAAAAGCATCTAAATAACAACCCTTAGCACATTAGTGGTCAGTAAACAATAACTATCTTCAAAGGGGTAAGTATCACTTATTTTGAATTTTTTAATTGGGAGAAGAAAGACTGGGAGCTATAAACTCTTAAATAATAATGGTTTCAAATAGTCTTTTCCCAGGTTCTTTAGAATGTGCACTGCCGCTTGCCCCCCAAAAAAGTTTTGGGCGTTTTGTTTTGGTTTTGTATATTAGGTTAGTGTATGGGAGGCCTAAAAGCAAATGGTAATTTCTAGAGAAAAAAAATTCCAACTGTAGATACTTTTTTAAAGTGCTGCTCTCAGATTTAAAAGAAGAATTAATTTTTTAAATATAACCCATTAATGACTATTCCAATTATATCCGTGTTGCTGTCACCTAGTGGAGAGTTTGTGGTTGGAAGACAGAGAAGGATGCACGTCCACTCCGTTTATCCAGAGTGCACTCCTGCCCCCTGGTGGTGACATTTCTGGTGCCTGCCTTTAGCTCATGAAAAAGCATTTTACCAAAGGGGCATTTTACAGGCCTGGCTTAGCCTCTGCAGTTATAATCAGTGTGATGGGATGGCCGACAGCTCCTGTCTTCCGTCTTGGAACTACCGTCTCATCTTACAAGAAAAGAAATACGACTCATGCACTTGTCTCATGCATCCAACCTGGACTGGCGATCTGTTTCACACTTTATAATATATGTTTCAAGTGCTCAGGGCTGGTACACAGGGATGACCCAGAGGGATGGGATGGGGAGGGAGGTGAGAGGGGGTTCAGGATGGGGAACACATGTAAATCCATGGCTGATTCATGTCAATGTATGGCAAAAACCACTACAATATTGTAAAGTAATTAGCCTCCAACTAATAAAAATAAATGCAAAAAAAAAAAAGAAATACAACTGATCTTAAGTCATCCTGACATCTGAAGGCAGAGCTGCGACCCTCAGCATGAAGTCCTGGATCTACTTACTGTACGTGATTACACTAAAGCTAAAGGTAGAAGTGTTTTCAGAGATCACCCCTTTCCTAAACCTCCTCCAATTGCTTAACATGCCAGGAACATTAAATAATTTGCTGCTTATTTCAGATACAGTATGGTCTGAATGTCTGCTTTTTTAGCTCTCTGTATTGAGTGTGTCTTTATTTTTAATCCCTCTTTTTCCTATATCTATTGTTTCTTACCAGTTTTTCATTCTCCCCTCATGTAATTGAAAAAAGTAATTTTATCATCTATGAGAAATCATTTTTAAAACTGTCATTAGATAGGGCTATTAAATCTCAACCCCTCTGGATTTCTACTTACACACTGACAAAGGCACACAGACTGTGCTTTTTCAGAGGAAAGATAACTTTTTTGGTTTCTTCCAAATAATCACTTAGTCCAGGCTCTTGCCCAACTTGAGGTGAGAATATTCCACCGAAGTGAGCAACTTCAGAGACTGAACACAGCTTTCTGCCAGAGGAGTTGTTCTGCTCTCATTTTATGGACACGGTGACTCATGTACCTGATCAAATTTCCCTCTGTGCAGGCTGCTGGAAAAATTCAGGACCAAACTGGGCCTCTCTCCTTAAAAAGTATCAGGACTTCCTCGTGTGCTTTTCCTGTCCTGTCCTCACTCACGGCTCCATTTCACCGTCCATCCTGTGTTTGAGCTTCCTCACTGCCTCAAATCTAAGGTATCAAAAAAAAAAATCTAAGGTATCTCACACAGTGTTCTGCTTTTTAAATGCCTTAAACCTACTGAAAAGATGCTAAGAATACAGAGATAGGATAAAAGGAGAACTCTGTGTGTGTGTGTGTATTCATCCTATATGCATCCATAAGTATATCAAAACCAAATACAAAAGGCTCTCCTTCAAAAGATTTTGAAATTAAAAATATAAAGAAGGAAATGCTTTTGTTTTAATATAAAATGCTCCCTAACTAGGCTTTCTGAGCCAGAAGAAATGAAATTCATGACTCTCAGTTTTACTTATTCTATACCACTGTTTTCAAATTCCTGACAAAAGAGGCGAGTAAGAATCCTTCTGCTCATTAAACCTGTTCATTTTTTACAATTAAGAAATACGTGTTAGAAATCTCACACATTTGAATTAGCTTTGAGTTTGTTGAAACACTGTATAATTACCTGAACAATAAAACAATGGCTAGGCTAGATTCAAAACCTTTATCAGCGAGTATGAACAAAAGAGCAGTTAACTAAGCCTCTTTCTCAAACTATATGATTTAAAAGCCAAAGCTTTTAGAATCAATCCTTTATAGCTAAAAGTGATTTTACTGTTCCTACTGCCATTGTTTTGCCATTTTTTTTAATGTAATAGTCACAAATGTCTTTCATGAACTCTAAACATAGCAAATTTTTTAAAAATTGTATCATCATCAACACATAGATACACAACTTTTAGAGCCTTTTTTTTAGTTATTCAGAAAGATTCCAAGTGGTATGGACATCAGTGTCCCATGCTACCCACACACCTGAAACTTTCCTCCTGGCCTTCATTGGAACTGATATAAATCAATGGATACAATCATACATTCTACATTTCATAATTTCAAAACCCTTCTACTTTCCAGAATCTTATTCATCTCAGTGATAATCTTGTAAGATAAGTGTAAAACCTGCATTTTACCACAGAAGAAATGGAGACTTAAGGTCATCAAAAGACTTGTCAGAAAGAAAAAGGGAGTGAGAGCTCAGATCTTCTAAACCTCATTTGGTTACTCTTTCCACTCTAGTTTTTATTTTCCTCATGACTGTAATGGGAGTTTGGTATACACCAAATGTTGACAAAAACAGAAGTTGAACTCTCCTCCACCCACAGCCATTCATACGGTCATGTTCTTTTCCAGCTCCAGTCTCAAGAGTCTCTAGATTCAAGAGAATCTAGAAAATGCACAATTTAAGTAAGTGTAAACACAGTTGTGCCCAGAAGGCCAGTAAACCTGAGTGCCATAGGGTGCATCATT